GTCCTCATCTCGAAAAACACATTGAAACAATAGAAAATGTTCAACGTCGACCAACGAAGCAGGTACCTGGCCCAAAAGACTTATCCCATAGAAAAACTAAAAATACCAACACTAGCATATGTATAGAAGATCACGTGGCGACGTGATAAAGGTTTACAAAATATTGTCCGGGATATACGACTATGAAGTATCCGACATATTTTATATCACGGAAAGTTCATTACACTCGGACACAACTTTAAAATTTACAAATCGCATTCAAGATTAAATATCCGAAAATTTTCGTTTACACAGAGAACTGTCGATTTTTGTAATAAACATCCGTCAAATGTTGTGAAGCACAGTTGAACAATTTGAATAAGAATTAGATGAACACTGGCAAAACCAAGCGCAGAAATACAGTTTCAAGAAAAAAATCGAAATCGAAATATTTAATTGTTTTTTTATTTCAGAGCTGACTGTCAAAGGATTGTAAAATTCTAATTTTATCAGAATAACTCTATGTATCTATGTATAAAACTATGCAACAAAGAAATGTGGATATAATGATACTTTCGTTTTTGCATGATTTATTCCGGAATGTTTAGTATTTCTGTTTCAAAATTTAGTTATCTAAGTCATATGAATGTTTGATAACAGCAAGTGGATCAGTTGAAAAGAATCAATAATAACGAACACCTTGAAGATCCTGATCAGGAAACTAGGCACGCAACTTTACATGTTTCGATGATATGTCAGTCAAAATCATTGGCAATTATCCACTGTTAATCGAAACAGGAATGTATGTGCGCATTTTAATCAATGACGTCGACATATTGCGCCTTTATCGCTGTAGTCGTTTAAATAGACACAACAGATTTATTGATTCAAGTTAACAGGTTAGGCTCCAGACTACAATGGAGAAGGCCGGAGTCACATGTGTATAACATATAACTACACTGTACACATGTGTTACCTGTACAAGGCGCTTACGTTCGGGAGCTCGGCTGAGACATTTAAATGAGGAAAACTTAATGTGCTGAAGAAATACCTCCAAAACGAACATGGTGCATGCGTGCTAGAATACAGACGTGTTGTATATTAATGTCATCTTAATTGTGACCTCTGTTAATTTTTTAAATGTGTTTAAAGACTTAAGTATTTTTACAATACAATAATTGGAGAGACGAAAAATTCAAGTGTAAGGAAGAGATTCATCATTTATACAGAATATAAATAACTGTTCCATTATATTCTGCCATGGAGAAACCGACTGAAAGTGTCAAAATTCTTGTGGATTTAATAAAATCTACAAATGAAGCGTCTTTGTTGAAAGCTGGAATTGTCAAGTTTTCAAAAGCTGCCATAGAATGGTATGTTGATCAGGAAGACATCGACATCTTACATCACGCTATTATAGCCAACAACATCGAGGCTGTGGGGTTGTTTTTCCATAAAGGATATTTCAAGCTTCCTCATGAATCTCCTTCGGTGCCATATATTCACTTGTGCGCAAGACTAGGACACAAGACAATTCTTGCCATGTTGATTCAAGAGCGAGGTCAAGATAACATTCCTATGGAATTCGAGTATTACGGCCCAACAGGATTATGTGGAGATTCGCCGAAAGCCATGAGGATATCCATGATGGGTGGTAAAGAAAAGTTGTCTCCCCTGGACATAGCTGGGGAGTATGGACATATAGGGTGCGTGTATACTATCCTTAACCATTTTTACGGAGGAAAGGTTAGGCACAAAACCAAGAGTACCAAAGAGGCTTATGTGAACCTCGCCTGTGAACTTGATTCGCCGCCAGCTCTCAGGTTACTGCTATCACACAAACCGACAGAGGAGGACATAAAAAACGCAGTAGGTGTTGCACTGAAGATGGCTAGGCCAGAATGTTTGGACGTTTTACTGAGTCTAAAACCCGACATTAGTTCACTATTTGGTGGCATGAATTTGTATCATGTTCTCTTCTCCTACAGTATGTCCTTCAAAAAATCCTGGTACGAATCACTGCTTACCGTTACCACTCTCCTTATCAAACATTCACATGACTTGTCGAAGTGTCTTCCTTACAGGACATACCCATTGTATAGCTTATTAGCACACTCGTCTTGTCATGACTTGGACAACTCGTCCCCATATCTACTAGCATGCCTTCTGGTCATGCTGAATGCTGGTGCTGACCCAAATTTTGACGAACTGGAATTCGAAAAAGAGCTTACAAAGAGAAAATTCACTGCAACTGCAGCGTTTGGACGATCTGCGTTTTCTTCCTCAATGCATTGCTTGTTTGACACTATTGGGAAATATTCGGAAGAGGTGCAGATAGAACAAAAACTTTGTCTCAGAAGTCACCTAGGGAAATGTACAGAAGCTTTACTGAAACACGGAGCAGATCTTAACTACGTAGGGAGGATGGAAGACCAGTGTGATACGTATGGAAACAGCCTACATTGCTTTTGTAGAATTGCTCCGAAAATTGGTCTTGGCGGAAAAATGTTAAAACTACTTTTGCGGCATGGCGCGAACCCTGATGCAAAGGTATACGGATACTACCCAATAAATGTGTTTTTCGAGCAACTTTTAGCATATGCTACAAACTCGGACAGTTCCCACGTCGTTGACGTAGAACACAGTGTGTTTATTATGGACTCGATGGCACAGTCAGCATTGCGAGATTCATTTGAAATCTTCAACGATATGGCGGCGAGTTTTGAGCAGCCCTCATCGAAGCACGCGCGAATTTTAGCGCTTATTAAGACCGAGTACGAGAAACGTGTTTCGGACGTCTGGACACTTCGTAGGTGCTGTGTGTTTACTGTGTGGGTCAGTTGTGGCCGGAGAATTGACCAGGCAGCGCAGCTTCCCTTACCAAAACGGTTGCGCGACAGTATCACAGATTCTCTGGAATATATAGTTTGAAAAGATCTTGTTAATATCAGTAT